AGTAAATATTTACTACTGGTAGTAATGTGTACATAGTAAAAGGTACTATTATTATAGTCTTCATTTAACTGTGGTAATTGAGATGGAATTTCTGATGATAAGCAATGTGATCATACAGGACAACCTCATGTGACCACATTGCTTAGGGACAACGATCCAGTACTCCTTACTGATGTTCTTAAGCAATGATTGCAAGCCATTATATCACTCCCAGGTGTCTTGCAAGCTGGCAGGTAAGGCATGAACAAGGGCGGCCTGCAAGGCACAGCAAGAGACCAGCATGGTCAGCAGTAGCTGTTGCCAAGTGGGGTGGGGGGTTGGGGTGAGGGGGAAGTGACTTACCAAAACAAATCACAACCTTTCCTGCTGGCTTCCCATTGACTTTGCTTGTGGGAAGCTGTCAGGGAAAGTTTCAATAGGAAATCATGTGACCCCAGGATGCATCAACCATCATAAATGTGAGCTGGTTGCCAAGGGCTCAGATCACAATCAAATGGCTATGAGGGTGGAGAACGTTAAGGACCAGTTGTAAGTATCATTACTTCAGCACCATTGTAACTTTGAATACTTGCTGAATGAATGAATGGCCATTAAATGAGGACCATCTGTACACACCAAAAATGTGGAATGTATCACTACAGAAGTATGGATTTATCACCCTTCGGTAGTAGCAAAAAAATAATAATAGGATGATACTCATCCCAGATCTACAGTGCTTGATGAAAGACTTATGTTCACTTTCTGTTTATGAGCTGGTTGCTCATTGATGTAACAGACGCACAGTTATCTTGTGTGGTTTGAGATTTAATGACTTGTTTAAAAGTTAATTTAGGATAAACTCCATGATTTCTGTCAGAAAAGAGACGCTCTAAAAGTTGGTGGTGGCTGTGGAACCACAAACAGAGAATCAGGAAAAGGAGTCTATGTGGTGACAAGAAACTGAAGAAATGCTGACAGAAAAGAAATTACTTTATGACCAGTGCTGGGATTCAATTTTTTTTACTACCGGTTCTGTGGGCATGGCTTGATGGGCGTGGCAGGGGAAGGGTACTGTAAAATCTCCAGTCAGAGGTGGTATTTGCCGGTTCTCTGAACTACTCAAAATTTCCACTACCGGTTCTCCAGAACTGGTCAAAACCTGCTGAATATACCACCTCTGGTTAAGACGATGAATAAATCAAGTAGGAGTATTTGTTATGTGTTTCACTAGGATAGGCAAAGGAAGGAAAGAAGGAAGGAAGAATTTGGCTGCATTTAATTGGCATTAGTGAATGCTATAAGCTGAGTCAGTTCTCTTCCTTCCACCATGTCCTCTTCAAATTCTTCCTAAGAAAATATGCTTAGCTTTTTTATTTAGAAGTGGGATGCAATAGATGCCTTCTTGGTCAAAGAAGAACAATAAACTATCTGTTACCATTTCTTGATAGAGAAAGCCACGGTACAAGAGGCAGCTGCCAGCATTTTTTTTTTTTTTTTAAAGATAGTAGCCTTCGTACAGAATTTGTACTTAGTCAAGCATATATGAAAAATCAAATCTTTTCCAAACCTGTAATTATATAGAATGTCATACTGAACAGGCCCTCAAATAATAATTTCATGGTTTGCAAAATATTTCTACTTTTATTTTTAAGAGTTTAATTGAGCTTACCTTTGAATTTTTACACAAATAATCCAAAGAACAACATTTGCCTTTCATCTGTCTCATCACCTGAAAATGGAATATTTTCAAACTGTTACGTTTTGGTCACATCTATCTACAAACCAAATTTCAAATATTTGTAAACATATTTTCTTACTGCTATCAGGGTTATAACTCATAAAATATTGAGAAAAAGCCTTCACAATGCCCCCTCCATTTACTAATTTGGAAAATTGATTATGTTTGTTGAATTGGTGACATGGGAAACTGCGGTTGATAGGAAACTCAGCTATACATGTGAATCCTAATTGCAAACCCACAGAACCTTGCTATAGCCACTAAACTGGATATTTTGTTTGCAATTTGTGGATGAATCATAATGAACAACTCCCTCCCTTCACAACATAGAAACTGTTGTTTGTCTGACAGTCAAACCCAGTTCTGTTTGGAAGGCTCTGGAACAAACAAACTTCAACAAAGACTTAGATTCTTCAGGGAAGTTAAGCTCAAGATTTATTGTAATATGAGCATGGTCAAAACAGCAAGATCATGGGATTAAACGATTGAAGAGTTAGTTTCAGATATTATTTTAGCAGCCTGCAAGCCTGACTTAAAGAGTTTAATAACATGGTCTCTTAAGTCCCAGCAAGCTTCATGTGTATGGATGCATCCCAACCAATAGCGGAGGTTTGGCTCTTCTTTCAAGAAGACTTCTCTTTCTGACTTGTAGATGGGGTGGACTGCTTAGGTTTCATCCTTTGATGCTGGTGCTCCTTATTGGGGGGTAATCCAGATCCTCTCTCTGTACCAGATAGAATTCCCTTTATCTCAATAGAGCATATTCTAGTTAAGTAAAACCTCCATGATGAAGCATCAGCTTGGATCTTCTGGTTAGAGTGATATGATTTTTCCTTCAAAAAAAAAAAAAAAAAAAGTTAGAAAATGATAGAAATACTGTATAATAAAGTATAGACTTACATTAATTTGTGAACTTCTCTTTACCAGGAGGTGTAAAAATATATGTAGGCAGGTAATCAACTTGAAACCACACATAATTTTGCCACCCAACAACAGTGAATTGGAAGGAGGTACAAGTCAAATAGGTTTGCCATGAACATAGTCTTCAGTGACCTGGTTCCCACATAAGAGGGATTACAAACAGATGGAGAAACAGCTGAATTATATTGCAGTACAAGCAGTAACATAGTGGTTGTTGGTGTTGCACAACCAAAAAATATCTGCTTGAATCACAAAACAGGAATTTGTGATGGATAATTTTTAAGTTGGGAAAATATAATTTTCTCTAAAATAAAGTAAAAATGATTGAAATCATTTTAGTGTTGAAGAATCTTTAAGAAGAATAGCGATGAATTTTCATGGGCAATGCTAATATATACCTATTCTATCTAAAATAGATGCTTAGGAGGTTGGGAACTGTGATAGGTATGTTTGCTTCTGATGATATGGGGATCACTCCGTAAGCCTAGTTTCATGAGTTTTAAAGCCTCGGTGGCACAGTGGTTAGAGTGCAGTACTGCACGCTACTTCTGCTGACTTTCAGCTGCCTGCACTTTGGCAGTTCAAATCCTACCAGACTCAAGGGTGATTCGGGCTTCCATCCTTCCATCCTTCTGAGGTGGTTAAAATGAGGACCCAAAATTGTTGGGGGCAATATGCTGACTCTGTAAGCCACTTAGTGGTAAAGCAATATGAAACAGTATATAAGTCTAAGTTCTATTGCTATTGCTATTTATAAGCCCAAGGTAGTAAAAACTCATTTAAGTCACATTAAATTAACTAATTGGTTTGTATAGGATCAAATTGGATTTAAAAAAATGCTATTTTCCAAATGAAACTAGGTTCTGCTAGCTGATTTACAGTGTATTTTAAAGCCCTCTTTTTATATTATATATAATATTGATCTTTAATATTTATATTTTAATACATATGAAAAACATGATGTAACGATGAGGGTTTCTTTGAATGCCGTACTTTAAGGAAAAGGCTTGAATGGTTCTTTGTAGTTTCCTGAGTTGGTGAAACACAGTATATTTTTTCACACAGAAATAGAGAGAATTTTTCTGGGGAAAAAGACCCCCATTTATTAAAAAATATTATGTCACAATCTACACTTCCGTAAAAATAGTTACTTAGTACAATACACTCTATAGTGACAGAAGAATTGTTAAAATTTACCTTGGCTCGATGCTTCCTTGGTCCTGTTTTCCATCCTCTTCTTTGCTAGAAAAGTTGAGGGATTTCAGTAGAAACTGAAGACATACATAAATCATGCTAATCTAACTGCTGTTGTGACATTAATTAATGTCTCATCATTCCCCTGAAAGCTCAGTGTGGGTTTTTCCTAATTTTATTTCCAAAACACTTAGTGAGATTATTGGATTGAGATACTTATCCACCCAATCATATACAGATAGCATCTTTTTGTGGGCTGAGGCTTATTTAATATTTTTGGGAAAGAAGAGGGGCATGGGCCCTGCTATTGTTCCTTTCCATCAATATTTTTTGAGGATCTGAGGATTTGCTTTGTTTTTTAAGTTATTTCAAGTCTAGTTTTAAGTCTGGTTAAGATTTTAAATTTTAAGTCTAGTTTAGAAACTCTACTACATTTGTACAATTTCCTCAATAGGGAGAAAATCATGTTTCTCATTTTCAGCCAGTGTAGATAAAGAGAGCCTAGAGAGTTGCAAAAAAACAAAAGAGATGGGGTGTCTCAAGGGATCCAACATTCCATGTCCATGGTCTCTGAAGAAATTTAGATCTTCCCAGTCCAACAGCTTAGGCACAATTCCAGAGATTTGAAGTGACTTCAAAAGGCAAAATGGTTATGGCATCCTGATGTCTCCTAAAAATCCACTCATACACACACTGCTCACATTGGACAATTTTTCACATTTTGGGGTAGTTTATGCAGTGCACTACATGCCTTAAGTCTCCAGAAGTTTAATCCTTAATTCCCCCTCCCCCAAAAACATTTCTAAAAGGATTTGCAGTTCTGCAAATATTGCCCGAGCCACTTTGATGACACCCCTAATCCTTTGGCCTCAAAACAGTTGTTAGATGAAAAAATACCGTCCATCTCCTAATTGAAATGGTGATGAGAAATATCTTCTAATCCTTATAACAGCTCAAAGAGTATTCAACTTTGCCTAATATTGCAGATTGCAGGGCAGAGTTGACAGGAAGTGTCCTTGTAATAAATGTATTGCAGCAATTAGATTAGATTAAAACTGTGGGCTCAAATTTTAGTTACTACAGTATACAACGTAAAGGATTATAGTTGAAGATTAATGTACTTTAATCATTAATCGAACATGACTTAAACTTTACTCTCTTTTTGTAGGGGAACCTATAGAAGGTCTTCGAGAGAGTGATTACCTATTGATTCATTCATGCCGACAGTGGACAACTATTACAGCTCATAGTCTAGAGGAGGGCCATTACGTCATAGGGCCGAAGATAGAAATTCCAGTGCATTATGCCGGTAAGTGTAGCTTCAGTTGTGGACTTCAGAAAACTGAATAATTAACCACTCGGTTTATCAGCTACAAAAAGACTACCCCTGAAAGAAACCATGACAACAATTTCAGCAAAATAAGATATATAGAAATACTGTAGTTTATCTCTACAGCAGAAATATTTGATATGCTTCTGTTAAGAGGTATGATTTATCTAATAAAGTTTCATTGACTGCTGAAGAAAAATAGTATGTGTCTTATGCAAAGCTATTGCAATGTACAACAAAAATTTTGTTTCCTGAACACTTTTGGGTATATCTTGCAGATTTGGGGCTATTAAACATAGACATAAACTTAAATTTAGCCTATCACGTACCATTTTATAGAAATCTGTTTTTACAAGTGGCAATGAACCCTTTCAGTAGCTTTTGGCAATAGGCTGTACATATAAAAGAAACATTAAAACATGGAGCTGTTCTTGAAGCACATCCAGTACATCAAGATCTCCAATATCTGTGGAGATCTAAAAGTAGTGGCTCTACTGCTTGGAATGCAGCTCAGATATACCAAGCACTGTTGTTACATATGAGAATGAGACAGCCATGCAAGAGGGTTGCATTATATGAAAAAGAATTTGGTTCCAGTACCAAAAAACATGGCACATGAAATATTTGTTGAGAAAGATATTTTTGCCTCCACTTCACATAAAACTTGGATTGATGAAAAATTTTGTGAAGGTGGTGAGCAAAGGAAGATTCTTGTTATTTGAGACAGATGTTTCCAAGAATAACTGATGCCAGTATTAAGGAAGATATTTTTGTTGGTCCACAGATCAGATACATCATCAATGACAAGTAGGTTGAAGATAGTGAGGCCAGAAAAAAATGCCTGGAAAGCATTCAAGAATGTCTGAGAATTTTCTAGGCAACTACAGAGCACCAAACTACATTCAGCTGGTTGACAAACTTCTTACAGCACACAAGACCATGGAGTGCAATATGTCACTGAATATTCATTTTCTGCATTCAGACTTAGCCTCCTTTCCCAAAAATCTAGGTGTAGCCAGCGATGAACATGGTGAAAGTTTTCACCAGGACGTTGCCACAGTGGAAAATGGTGTCATGGAAAATGGAATCCCTCAGTGTTGACACTCTCTTGTTGGACCCTGCAATGAAATGGATCAGACACCGAGCACAAACAAAAATCAGCAGCAAAACACTTTCAGCCTCATTGAGCTCCTGCTTCATGTTAGAAACATTATGCAATTAAATACATTATAATCATTAAAATTTAATTTTGTTTTTCTCAAGATTCCTACATAAAGTAATCATTCTGAAATTATAAGTGATTCAGTTTGATCATTAAAAGTTTTTCAGGAAGTAAAATTTTTGAAAAAAAATGTTGCACAGTGATCAGAAGTCATTGTAAAAATGGTTAAGATCCAGCTACATTGCATTTAAAATGTTTATCTAAGGACATGATATCCTTTTTTTATTAGTTTTCCATGTGAACTGTGGAAAAGGTGTCAGCAGAAGACATATATTTATTGGTTGGTTCTCTTGTAAACAAGTATTGGGTAGGGAGCCTCTTCCAGTGTACTTTGATTGTGTTTAATCTTTGTAGGGTGACTATGTTGATAATGCAGATGGGGTGGAGGCAGTCTATAAAATTTTATTGTGTTTATGGAATAAACCTGGATTTTCTTTCTTTTTTAAAATTACTTTAAGTCTGTTTTAGGGTTTATGACACAATTTTAAGTTTTTCTCATTTCAAAATGGAAGGATATTTTGTTACACTTTCCAACAGCCATAGACAAAGGTATACCTGGGATTGCAAAAAATTGTTAAGTGATAGTAAATTGCATACCATTGCTGTACTCGTTACATTACTTAAAGTTCATCCTGATCTTTTCTTTCTAGCAAACTTCAGGAATCCAGTGCTCAACAGGTTCCTTTTCAAGACAGATCTATTGCTCTGTCCTCCCACAAATTTTCTTTAATTTCTGGAGCAGACTTTATTTACTACTACATACATGCATACATACATACATACATACATACATACATACATACATACATACATACATA